GTGGCCGAGGGAGGCTCGGCGGCTGAAGACAGGGAGGAATCTGCTCCCCTCAGCAGTTTGGTCTCACCCTGGCCGCCCAGTGGTTTGCTTGCGGTGGTAATGGCTGATTTTCATCTGCCCCTTCCCAGACCCAGCCTGTGCCCTCGGAGAGGTCAAGCAACAGCCCATGGCGCACCTCCTCAGAAATCTGAGTCCCAGCCCCGGCTCTTCCTCGGGGATCTTGAGGTGGCAGCTCCAGGTTAGCAGGGGACCTTGCTCAGGCAGCTGGGGCCTGGGTCTCTCCACCCCTTACATGCGTGTTGTGGCTTCCCGGGTAGCTTTCCTGATACTGCAGGTGTCCTGTGTTCCTTTCCAGTCCTCCAGTTCCTGGTTAACAGTTCTTTAYAGTCAGTGCTTCCTGCTGAAATAACTGGTGTGGCTTCCTTCCCCACTGGATTCAACAAGAGCCTTGGGTATGAGACGCAGGAGTCTCGGGACCTCTCGACGTGCTGCAGAGGAAGGGTGTGCAGAGGGAGAGAACGCCCAGTGTTTTCCTCTYGAGGCACCTGCAGCACTCTGCCACCCCTACACCCTCCCAGAAGGCCCAAGGGACGCTAAGTACATCCTTGAGGTGGCACCATGTTCTATATAACTGTGGGAATGACTGGGAGGTTGGCCACCACAGAACCTGCAGAGATCTGGGCAGCAGAGGCCAAGGGGCAGCTTGGGCTCTCAGAGTCCACCCTGGCATGGATTTGTGCATCTTCCGCAGTTCAGCTCAGGTTTCCTCTGTCCTGTTCACAGGCATCCCCTGTTTTGGACTTTCTGTCCCATAGTCAATGAGTCGCACGAGGTTCTAGCACTTTGTAACAATGGGCTCTATGCACAGCTGACTCTGCCCAGTTGTGCAGAGTTCTGAGGCCACTTTAGCAAGTGAGGCCAAGCTGCGACTTTAGCAGGTCAGGTGAACACCTGCATCTCCACCTCGCTGGGCCTTCTGCCTGCGATGGCTTTATTGGGACACAATCCATCGTAAATCAAGGAGCGCCTGTAGCGGAAGCATGGGTGGGTGGTGATGAGATGCCGCTGTCCTTTGGTGATGACTAATTCGTTTAGTATCCCCAGGAATGGAACAGGGGGACAGCTTACTTTACGTCACAGGAAAACCGAGGTTTGGATAACAAAGGGAAGGAAGGGCCTGGGACGATCACAACAGCAACATCTAAACCCGGTGGGCAGCTTTCCCAGCACTTGCCAAACGGGCTTCCCAAGGACCAACTGCATCTGCCCCTCGGAAAGTGCGACTCCCAGGTTTGGGGCCTCCTCCAAGTGGACACCAGCAGGACGGAGCCCCTCCCTAGGGCATTGAGTCTCAGCCCTTTGCTGTCCTTCCTATGAGTTTCTGACCCTGATTTTTCCAACCCTTTCCATGTGTCCTTGGCCCTGGGAATGATAGAAGCTTTTATTTATTTATTTTTATTTTTAAGTTTTTCTTATTTGTTCTAATTAGTTATACATGACAGAGGACACATGATACATAAGTGGAGTCTGACTTCTCGTTCGTCTGGCTGTACATGATGTGGAGTTACATGGGTCAGGTAATCTCCCTGCACATAGTATAATAAAGTCCAGTTGTACTGTCATGCCCACTCCCATGCCCCCTGCCCTCTCGCCACTCCCACTGTCTAGTCCAAAGTACCTCTGTTCTCCCGGCCCTGTTGTGAGTTGGTGTGGCATGTCCAGGAAACATCCAGCCTTTAGTTTTCTGGACTAGCTTATGTCACTTAGCATAATAATCTCCAGTTCCATCCACCTACCATCAAATGCCATCATTTTACTCTTCTTTAAGGGTAACATTCCATGGTGGATAAACACCATATTTTCTTTATCCATTCATCTGTTGAAGGGCACCTAAATTGGTTCCGTAGTTTGGCCATTGTGAATTGAGCTGCTATAAACATTGAYGTGGCTGTGTCACTGTCCTATGTTGATTTTAAGTCCTTTGGGTATAACTCTAGGAGTGGGATGACTGAGTTGGTAGAAGCTTTCTTTCTTTTTCTTCTTCTGGTGCCAGGGATTGAACCCAGGGTGCATAACCACTGAGCCACATTCCCCACCCTTTTCTTTTTGAAACAAGGTCTGACTTCATTGCTTAGGGCCTCTCTCAAGTTGTTGAGGCTGGCCTCAAACTTGCAACTTTCCTGCCTCAGCCTCCCTAGCTTCTGGAATCACAGGCATGTGCCACCATGCCTGGCAAGATCTGTTGATTGTGAAGCCTTATTCCCAAAAGAAAATGTCCAGAAGTAGAGGAACCGGCCACCTAGCCATTGGACTGCCCAGGCTGGAGACCCAAACAGGCAAGGAAGAGGGTCCTGTTCTGGTTGCCATGGGGTGACTGGTCCCAACACTGAGGAGGATCTGACTCACCACAGCACAATGTGTGGAAAGACAGTGTTTGGAAGCAAAGGAACCTTTGGGTGCCCACGTCTAGCAGTTAAAGTGAATGGGAAGCCTCAGTAGCTGTGGGCGAGCCCTGGGCAGGTTCAGACCTTCTGAGCATCAGGTGTAGCACTCTACAGGTAAAGGGTCCTGACCGGCTGGAGGAGGACGTTCATGCATTTCAGCCACCACCTCCTGACCAGGACTAGGCGCCTGACCGCCTGTAGACAGCTTCCTCACATGGACATGCACATGCTAAGGATGCTCCAGTCTTCACTTACTGTGGTGGACAAGTTTTGTCACAGATTAACTTCCTATTTTAGTGTCTAGGTAGAACATTCAGATAGGGTTTTGAATGGATCGAGTGGCACAGGCAGGGAGTGCCTGACTGGGGATTGTCACCTCCTTAGTGTGCCCCGTGAGAGCCACACCGTCTGTCTGTAGGTAGTCGTGGTGGGGAGGGCAGCGCAGAGCCGCTTGTGGCTGTGCGAAGTCACAAGTGTGCCCAAGAGTGTTCAGGGYGGCTGTGCCAGTCGTCAGTCACGGAGGCTCTGGGCGCAGCTGGGTGGTGCTGGGGGGCTCTGCAGGTCACATTCCTTCCTCAYGCTGTCCTGGGTTGGGCTTCACCAGTGCAAAGATCCAGAGCCTGCCTTCAGGATGGGGTGCAGTGGGGCGCCCCCCTCGGTGTGTGCTTCCCTGCCTGTGAGCAACACTCTGGGGCATCTTCCTGTGGCAGCAGCAGTTCCTTTCAGCAGAAGCTTTGCATTTGGTGTGACAGTCACCATGGACCCCCCTCAGAGACTACAGCCCTGGCAGGGCAGGTACTGTCTCAAGGCCTGCTGAGGCTCCGCAGCCCTGCTCCGAGTTCCCAGGTTCTGAAGTTCTACCCTTCCTCTGCTGCCTCCTTCAGTTAGCGTGTCCTCATCCTTGTCTCCAGCCCAGTGGACCACRCAGTGTGCAGGTGAAGCTCTTCGTGAGCACCCTACCTCTTTAAATCCTGTAGGTGGAATCTGCCTCTCCACTGGACCTCAGCTGACACAGGCCCTTGGGTCTGTCTGACACTTTGGAGGGAGAGAGCTGGATCCTGAGTCGGCACCTCTGGCCACCCACACCCTAGRCACAGCATTAAACCTCGTCTACACGCTGGCGAGCTCACACCGCTTGCCCAGGCCTATCAGGAGAATGCCACACACTTTTCTGTCCACTTGAGGACTCCACTTGGCAATTTAATGCCTGAGACATGACATGGCTGAGCCAGGATGTGACTCCCTAGGTCATCTACTCTCCCACAGACTCCTCCCTAAACTTCTCCATTACAGCCATCTAGTTAGTTCCTCAAGTTCAAATACATGAAAATCAATGCTGATGTCTCCCTCCCTCCTGCTCTCCATATCTAATCCATCAGCAAGTCTAATAAAAATGTCCCTTGGTCTCCACGATGATTCCTCGCTGACCTTCACTACCACTCTGTCCAGTTTGGACCTCTACAGTGGACTCTCCATAAGCCTCTCTGCCCACTCTTGCCATCCCCTATACGCCTCCTCTGGATAGCAGCCAGATGGTCTTTTAGGAACATAAGTCAGAGCTCAGATCCCTCTAGCGTGTGCCCAACACACAGGTCACAGGAATGTGCTTTATACTGGACGCAAGGCCTTGCTGAACGTGGCCCTGTAGGTCTCTCTGAACCATCCCACCCCTCTCTGGCTTTCTTCCTGAGGCTGAGGCCTCTGTGAGTGACCTGGAGCCCAAGCAGGGGAGAGGTGTTGTCAGACTCTAGGCTCAGCACCTCACACCTGGTGCCCACTGGTCTCAGCCACAGGGTGCCGCAGCAGCTGCCTTCACTCCCCACACTGGCCGCAGCCTGGTGTCCAGCAAGACCTTGAGATCAGCTCCTCCAGCCCAGTTCCAGCCCTTCCTACTCCTTACAGACTCCCTGTGCTGGACTTGTCCCTGGGCATCAGTCTCCACACAAAGGAAAGAGAATCTGCTTGCTGACGTCCCACGTTGTGCATCCAGCTATTCATCTTTTAAAGTTGTGAAGGAAACCCTCTGAGTTGGAGTACAGATTGTCTCTGGCTTCGGCTGCAGCAACTTGAGATCTTACCCAAGTTTCCCCGCGGAGGATCAGGGCTCAGGAGAGAGTGAGCCTGTGGGTTTCTTTTTTTCTGTCAAGATTCATCTTCCTTGGTAATTGTGGTTGTTCGGGTAAACTGATAATGAGATAATCACTAGGCACATCCGTTTCCCTTTGTATTGGAGACACAAGCAGGCCGTCTATGTCAGTTACTCTGCCAATCAGTCAGAAACCATAAGGGCAGGAAGGGAGGGAGGGAGGGAGGGAGGGAGGGAGAAAGGAAGGAAGGGCCGAAGGAAAGAAGGAGGAAAAGGAGGGAAAAATCTCCAAGCTCTGGTTCAAAATCATAGCATCAGAGTTTTCTGGGCTGGCAAGACTTTTATGTGAAATTAAGTTTTAAAACTTTGTGAGTGATTCTGACGCACCTCCTGGGTAAGAATGGATGCTTTAGGAAGTTTCCTGGTAATTTTAATTCCCTGTCCTCAAAGGGGTGGGAACATAGACTTACCAACTCCTCTTGCAGATTAGAAAGAGAAAGAGCCAAGAAAGGTGAGCAACCCTCCTCTCCAGCTTCCTGCTGGCAGGTCCTAGGCTGTGCGGAAAGTTCCGGATGGGCTTTCAAGAGGAAGYGAATGTGGCTGGTGGGAAGCAGGCAGCAGGCAGGTGGGTGTCTGCCAGGGTAGGCCGCCGGCCTGCTGTGATGGAGCTCCCGCTCAGGCACGTTCTACCTGGCAGGCTGGCTGCAAGGATGGGAGGGACAGCTGCTGGGGTAAAAATAGAAAGCATTGTTGGTTTTTTTGAGGATGCTCACTTGAAAGAAGAGCATAAATCATTCTTTCGCCCAGAGCCCTTATTTGTTCTTTATACCTCTGAGGGTGGTGTGCAGCAGGTGGGGGCTGAGGAGGGGGTGGCAGGGACACACCTCATCCTCGGAAATCCCCCTTGGTCCTGCATCCATTGGGGGTGGGGGTGTGTGCCCATAGTGTGTGCCAGGAGGTCGAGGGAGAAATGGACACGGAAAGGAGGGACACACCTGGTGGGGACAGAGAGCCCGGGAAGGAGGGGAGAAAGGAGGGTGACCTCYGAGGCACTGAGAGGCTCCCACTCACTGAGGTGTGGGCAGCTGTCAGCTCCCTCCCTGCTCCCACACCTCATGGCCTCGGCCCTTCTTGGTGCTTATGGTGAGGTTCCTCCCAGGGTTTCGTTCAGGAATTTGGGGGAGCTCTCACTCTGATCTCAGACCTCCAGCCTCCAGAACTCTAAGAAAAATATCCTTTTGTTGTTGTTTATTAAACACAAAACTTGAGGAGGGGATTGGAGGTAGGGGCTGGGGACTCTGGCAGTCCGAGGCTGCCCGAGCCCCTGATCCTGGGCGTCCCCCCCAGGCTAGAACCGGCTCGCTCACCGTTAGCTCCCAGCCCGGCCCCCACCACTGCCTCTGCTGACATTTCCTTTTGCTGCTTCTCCTCTGAGTCAGCACAAAGCTCTGTTCCGCTGATACCGCTCCTCTGCTTACAGCCAACGTTTCTTTAGCTTTAATCCCTTAAAACCCCCTTAAACAACTCAAAAGCAATAAAGAGATAGTTCTTGGTTACATTTCTCCCCTTGGCTTTGTTCTTCTTAACCCTCTTCTCAGATTGCAGGCTAGAAGGCCTTTGTCTCTGTTGACTCACCTCCTCCATTCTAATGAGATCACCCACAGCACAAACTGGCCGCTCTCCCGACTGGGTGTTGGGTAACAGAGCTGTTAGGGAAGGGACGGAACTTCCAAGAGGACAGGGGAGGGGCCACTTTGACACAGCAGTTACTCCCAGAGGCCCAAGGTTTGTAAGCCCCAGGGCAGCTAATCCCCCAGTGACCGGATCTCTTGATCTCTTCCGTTCTCCCAAATATCTGCACCTGTAGTGGGGACAGCAATCCTTGGCCCATCCCACTCCCCCGGGTTCCCACTGCATCCTCAGGAGGAAATACACATGTTACTCATTAAACTATTAACTTTAATTCTGCTTCTTAGCACAAAAATGTTTGATAGAAATTGTCTAGGACAGATTTTCCCCCCAGGGGGACCATGGTACTGGAGATTAACCCAGGGCCTGAGTGCCAGTCAGGCCTCTGCCACTGAGCCACACCTCCAGCCTTTGTAGTCCATTTTGACTCCGGGTCTTACTAAATAGCCCAGGCTCGCCTCAAATTTGCCTTCCTCCYGCCTTAGCCTACGAAGCTGCTGGGGTCACAGCTGGGCCCCACAGTGCTCTGTTCGGGGTAGGCACATTTTGGTTAAATTTGGCCACCAGCAGAGGAGGACAAGGCTTAGTTGAGTGAAGGAGTAGAATACAATGTGCTGCTCATGGGAGCTTGGGATTTGGATTTGGAGAAAGCCCTCTGCCTCTTGGAACCAAGGGACCTCATGTGTAGACTGAGGGAAGCTGACCGTGAGACCGGTCATGGTGACAGGTACAGACAACAAATCACGAATGGGGTCCGCACAGCGACTGGAGGCCATCGAGGCCAACCAGGATGGCAGTGTCACCAGCCATGCTGTGTGTGCACAATGAGCTCCAGAGACCCGGCTTGGGAGGGAAGCCCAGGCAGTGAGGGCAGGTGGGCAACGTCCCCCAGTAAAGTAGCTGAAGGTGAGGGGCTTCGCGTCAGCAATCAGATGCCCAGTTACACACACACACACCAGCACACACGGGTCTACTTACACAGAGAAGGGGGTCAAGGGTTCAGGGGTTGTTGAAGATGGGACATGGAAACGTGGGCTTGCAACCAAATCTTCACTGTGAGAAGGGACTCCGCGTGGGGAAGAGAGGGGAGAAGCAAGCTGCTCTCTGTAGTGCCTGGTCTCCAGTGGCCCATCCTGGAGGTGATGCCTGTGTCTGGGACTGGCCACCTCAGCAGCCCCATTTGGAGCCCAGACCCCAGCCCCTCTGAATGCCAAGTGCACTTTCCTTTGTTGATAAGGAGTTTGGCAAATCTGGGGAGGAAAGGAAATAAGGTTTTGATTTTTCTGTAGAGCTGGTGTCAAACCCAGACCCTAYGCACATGTGGGCCTAGCACTACTACTAAGCTGCAGCCCAGCCCACAAAGTGGGAATTCAGGTAACTTATGAGGCCCTCAGAATTTGTTTCTGAATACATTTAAAAGAATCTAGCTTTATGCCTTTGATTTTCCTTTATAATTGATTTTAAAATGTAAAATACTTAAAAGAATCAGATTCATATTTTCAACATGTTTGAAGGGTTAGTGAAGAACCTGCTTATAAATTTTAGTAGATTTTCTTAGATTTGCAACAGTTATTTAAAATCTTAGTGGTAACTCTTAGAATCAGCCTCTTTAAAATTCATTTTAGGCTAGGCACAGTGGGACTCCTATAATCGCAGCAGCTCAGGGGACCGAGGCAGGAGGATTATGAGTTCTAAGCCAGCCTCAGCAACTTGGGGAGGACCTGAGAAACTTAGCAAGACTCTGTCTCTAAATAAAAAATTAAAAGGGATGGAGATGTGGCTCAATGGTTAAGTGTCTCTGGGTTTAATCCCCAGTACCAAAAAACAAAACAAAAATAAATAAATAAATAAAGTATCATTTTGGAATTTATATTGATATTGCCTTGATTCTATAGATCAGTTTGGGGAACAGACCCATTGTAACAATGTTGAGCTTCTATTCCATGAATATAGTATATCTTCCCATTTACTAAGCTCTTCTTTCATTTTCTTTTGCAATGTTTTTCAGTTTTCAGTATATAGATCTTACATTTTTTATTACAGATATCATGAAGAATTTTGTTTTTTTTTATTACAGCTTAAAGGATGTCATTTGTTAATTTTATTTTCTGAGACTTTATTGCTACAATACAATTTTGTTCATTGCTACAATACCATTTAGTTCATTGCTACAATATAATACAATTGATTTTTGTATATTTGTATCATATCATACAATCTTACAAATTCAGTTATTGATTTTCCTTGTCCATGTTTAGATCTATTAGTGATGTCAGGCATTAGTGATGTTGGTTTAGTGTGATGAGGATTTTTTATCATACATGTGTTCATAAGCAGGTTCTTCAAAGCTCTCCAAGTATGGTTAAATTCTTTTCCTGCATTTATTGGAAAGACTACATGGTTTTTCTCCTTTATTTTTGCTAATATGGTAAATTACATATTTGGGGATTTAAAGTGTTAAATCAATCTCTCATTCCCAGGAAAATCCATGATATATTATCCTTTTTAAATATTCTTAGATTTGATTGGCTAAATTTTTGTTAAAGATTCTTGTTTTGTTTTGTTTTGAGACTGTGGCTTGTTATGTCACCAGGCTGGCCTGGAACTCCTTGGCTCAGGGGGCCCCTGCCTCAGCCTTCCAAGGAGCTGATGACACAGGCACATGCTGTGAAAGGTGGTTCATGAGGAATATTCGTCTGCAGTCTTCTCTTCTGATGATGTCACTGTTGGGTTTTACCTTCAGTAGAAAGCTGAACACAAAAGTGAAATAGCAAGTTTTCTCTTCTCTGCATCTGGTGGAGTTGGTATAGAATTCTTTTTGTAAATGGTTGATAGAGTCCATGGGTACAAACTACCTGGGCCTGGTATTTTCATTATGGGAACATTCTCACTTATGAAATTTTTACATGACATTAGGGTTTTCAAATTTTCTATTTCATTACATTTTGATAATTTTGTGTCTTTCAATAAATTAGTCTGGTTAAGTTTTCAACTACATTGTCATAAAGTTTTAATATTTTATTATCATTTTAATATCAATAGAATATCTACTTGTGTCCCCTTTTTCAACCCTGATTTGACAATTTGTGTCTTCAAATTTTCTGGATCAGTCTAGCTAAAGTCTTATCAATTTCATTGAACCTTTCAAAGAACACACTTCTGGTTTTACTGATTTTTTTTCTATTGTTTGTTCATTTTGCTTTTCATTGACTTCTGCTCTTATTATTTCTTCCTTCTACTTATTTTAGGCTTAATTTGCTTAAATGATTCATTCTGGGCCATTCTTCTTTCCTAAAATAAGCATTTAGTTTAGTGAATATGTGTCCTTTTAAGTCCAGCTTTAGCCACATTCCGCAAATTTTGACATGCTCAATTTTTATCACTGGGTTGAAATGCCTTCTGATTTCCAAGGTGATTACTTTCTAGCCCGTGTGTTATCTAGAACAGGGGTCCTCAACCAGGGCAACCTGGTCCCAGGAATATTAGGTAATGTCAAGGGATGCTCTGGGTTGTTACCTGGGAAGAGTGCAGCTGTTGCCTGGTACATGAGGCAGGTACCCTGCTGGGCTCTCTGCAGTGCTCAGGGGAGCCCCTCTCCCCCATGTCCTGCACAGGTGGTGGAAATGGGGTTCCCCCCAGTGGTATGGGCTGGCTGAGAAATAAAAGCTAGGAAAAATAGAATGACAAAAAACCCCACAGGACACAGGAAATAACTTCAAAAGCAGAGTCAAGATGGGCTAGCTGATCATACAGCTCAAACTTGTAGACTCTGGCAAAATGGAGCACCCAGCTGCTTTATTTATATCGGGAAACATCAAAGGCCTTCCCTAGAATGCTCTTCATCAGGAAAGGTTAAAGATGGGGCTGGGGTTGTGGCTCTGCAGTACAGAACTCGCCTAACATAATACCTTCATATAATTCATGGGTGGCTTACTGCAAGTCCCCACAACAAAAACCCAGCCCAGGGGTGATAAGCCCTGTATAAAATTATACTGTTTAATTTCCAGATATATGGACTTTTTCAATTATTTTTATAGTTCTTGATTTTCACTTTTGTTCCATTGTAGTTAAAGAACATAGCTGATATTATTTTTTGTTGAAGTTATTTAACTATTTTAATAACTTTATTTTATTTTTATTATTTTTGTTAACGTGGTGCTGAGGATTGAACCCCGTGCCTCACACATGCTAGGCAAGTGCTCTGCCACTGAGCCACAATCACAGTCCCTATTTTAAACTTTTAAAATTTATTAAAGCCTGTTTTATGGCCCACTGTGTGGTCTGTTCTGGTGAATACACCACGTATACTTGAATAGATGTGTATTCTGCAGTTGAGGAGTGTAATAGTCTGTAAATAACTATGGGTCAAGGTGGTTGAGAGTATCATACATTTTGTCAGTATGTTTGCTGATTTTGTTGCTGTTGTATTTTTCTACAAATTGTGGAGASAGAAAGATGTTAACATTTAGATATGATTATGAAACTGTCTCTCCATTTAATTCTGTAAATTTTTTACTGTATGTTTTTGAAGCTCATTATTTGGTGTATACATACTTGTGGCCGATGGATCGCTCTTTTCACTATTATGAAACATTCTTCTTTATCTCTAGCTTTTGTCCTGAAATGTATTTTATCTAACACTACCGTATTGTGCTTGCTGTTGGAATGAAGTCTGCTTTCTCATTCATCTACTTTCATCTCTGTGTGTAGCCTAAAGAAAGAATACAGTTAGTGTCTCTGTTATCTCAGGATGTGGTAACAAAATGCTTAAACAGTGTAAACTGGTTTTTCTTACAGTTCTGGAGAGCAGGAAGTCCCATGATAAAGTGCTGACCAGCTCAGTTCTTGGTGAGGCTGTCCTCTGGCTTTCAGATATCTGCCTTCTCCCTGTGTTCTCCTGTGGTGGGGCTACATGGCTGGCTGGATAGGGGGTTGGATGGATGGGTAGGTAGGTAGGTAGGTAGGTAAGTAGGTAGGTAGATAAACTGCTCGCTC